TAGACTTTGTAAGTTTGATTCATTTCTGAGAATCATTTTGAATGAATCATTTTAAAACTTTGATTCAATAATTAAGCTCTTAAATGCTAAAGAGAGTTTAATTAAATTTATGATTCTTAAACTTAATTGGCAAAAATAAATAAAAATAATTCCAATTAGAGTCAGAGTTGGTAAGTTTGATTCATTTCTATGAATCATTTCAAATGAATTGATTCAAAACTTTGATTCTGTAATTCAGCTCTCAAATTCCTAAAGAAAGTTTCACTATATTATTACATTTTGACTTTTTTTTTTACCTGATTTAAACTTCAGTAGCCAAAATGTTGTTTACAGTTGGTGATTTTGGTCCATTTCAGTCAATCATTTCAACGAATCAATTTAAAATTTCAGTAATCCAGCTCTCTAATACTTTATTTGATAATTCAGAAATGTTCATGCAAGTCCCCATTTGTTTTGGTATTGTTAACTAAACTAAAACTATTATAACTAAACTGAACTAATTTCCAGTAACTGAAATAAAGTAAATTAATAAAATTAAATAAAATTAAATAAAAATAAATAAATAACAAACATGACAAAAGCACATACAATTATTAAATGTAAAAAATTAAATAAAAATAATGACAAAAAGCAAATACAATTATTAAATGTAAAACTAAAATAATAAAAAAGCTACTTCAAAATAGCAATAAATACTATAATAGTATTAAATAATACTAAAATAACAATGGCCCGTTATATTTGGGCAATTGTCTTATATTGAAATGTTTTACTTCTAATATATGTAGATCATTATTGCTGTGTATTACTATGCATTTGATCCTTTTATTGGACCATATAAATGTATACATTTAGTAAAACAGTGTCTTAGTTATGTTTATTAACTACATTGTTAATGTGATTTGACTTCTTGAATAAAACATTTTGAATGTAACTGGCTCAACTTGACTCTTTGATTCAAATGATACTTATTCAAGATTCAACTCAAGATTTTTAAGTTATTCTGACAAGTCATATACATAAAAACTACACATCTATTTGAAAAGTCAACAAATGATCACACATCCAGGCATCTCGAAAGAGCCTCAGTTCAAAGGTGTCAGCTCAACAAGAGAAAAACTCACTGTAAGGTTGGAGCACTTTTCAAAGGCAACCTTTTCTCCTAGGTCTGAAACTTCTCTCATTTGCTCACTCTTTCATGTTTGCGATATGCAAAAAGGAAAGCAGGAGACCCTGTGCACAGCAGCTGACCTCCCGTGGTTTGGCAGACACAATGGGATAATTGGAGCCTTGGGCTGGAAACTAGTAGAGAAACAGTGTGGTTTTACTGACAGGTTTAGTCTGACATATGTCTCACTTAGCGCTTCATACTCCCAACACAATACAAGCTAATTACTACATATTTCTGCTCCTAATTAAACCTCACTAATGTGATCTAATTACCGCTCTGCCCACGAGGAAGTGAGGTTAATTTTACTTTCCTAAATAAAGACTAAACGCAGTCTTGGTAATCACCTTGGCCTACAAAGTGGAAGTCTAAGTGATCATCCATTATTTAACTTGGCTTTAAACCGCGTGTGTTGTGATAATTGGAGGTGCCGAGGGTTCAGCCAGGCAAAACATATTAGCACACTAATTAGTAAAGTCAGCGTTACCACCGGGGGTTTCTGTGTGTCTCTCTGTTGAAATTTCCAGCCATGCTCATCTCCGTGTTAAATATCTTTCACCTGATTTATCGCATCTTTGCCGCGTCATTTTTTTTTATTGGTGGCTGGTCTGTTGTCAGTAATGACAGGACTGTGCTGTTTACCCTGTCATTGTGTCACTGCTGTCATAACAGTACATATGTTTCCAATCGCATGCTCCCATACTGCTATTATTATTTCTGCAGTGTGAAGCATGTATACTATGCATTAGAGCTGTAAGCAACAACTATTTTAATATCTGATTCATCTGTTGATTGTGTCTTTGATAAACTGAACAATTAAATATTCCATATTGAAGTCTGTGTCATTTATGCTGTGTTGTGTACCAAAATAATAAAAAGTAATATAAAAAGAAATATAATGGATAGGAAGTGTAAGTTAAGATGGATTTGCAGTTTAATGACGACAGCAACATTCAGTCACTTCATTCATTTGCAACTGTAAAAATTGTGTTTTTGTCATAGAAATATGCGTAGTGCAAAGACCTTAATAATTGCTAATAAAACTTGTTGATTATTATTATGGATTATGCCGATTTAAAAAATGAGTTGCCATACTTTATCCCACAATGCATTGTGCTTCACTTTTTCTTCATTTCCAGTGATAGGTGCAATTTTTTTTTAATTGGACTAACGTTAAAAAGTTTTAACACAAAATTGGAATAAGGTGCAAATTTTTTTTTCAAGATAATAAATGGACAGTGCTTGCTGAATTAAACATGCAAAAGGTAGCACATTACAGTTTAAAATGCTTATTAGGGCTGCACGATTTCACAATTTAAAAATATTTACTTAACACTGAACATTTTTTAAGATTTGTTGACAACAGCATGCAGATTTATAAATGATTCTCATTACGAATTTGGGAAGATGTTTGTCGCACGTATCACAATGTCACATGGCTTTAAAAATATTCACAAAAATGTTACTGAGCAACCATAGCCGCGGGAACGTATTTTGAGCTGGGGGGGCTGAAAAAACGTGACAAGAGTGATGCGGGAAGACCGACACTATATGATGGCGGAATGTTCCAAACATATTTCTAAATTAACTTAATAAAGATGCAATCTGTCTGTGGTAGATTTGACATTTCCAGGTGTTTGCAAATCCACTCACTAACTAATTAATATGTATCCTCATGAATATTTAATGAGTTACTGGACACTCTCGGAAGGTTACCCAGCAACATCTGCATGACCCAATTAATATGCACGCAGTATACTTTAATTTTGCATTGGGGCGTACATACTGGATGCCGTTTTTAATGGAGCAGAATGCACAGTTGAAACATCATTTGCATTTAAGGTCAGATGAATTATGGAGATTTGATGACATATCAATCCATGAATTTTACCTGTGCGGCTCAATAATTTTCCACATACAAACCCAAGACATTTTCAATGGCTGTATATAGAGGCCTGCATAGGCTGTTGTATCTCAGTGAAAGAACTCGCTGAAAACACTTGCAGCCTCACTAGAAGGTAATTTCAATCGTACGTCTGGGGTACAGCTTGTGTCAGCCAGTTTGACTACAAGAAAATCAAAGCTCATCCTCAGGCAGCTCAAACGTAGTCTCGCAATGGTGGTAAAAAACGGCCATTTTTAGTTTTCTGAGGTGTTAAACACAAAACATGTCTTTATAACCAAAAAACAGATTCCCTTACTTTTGCAAATTTCTGTCTTTCCGAGAGCTTCCTCCTGAAAAATCTGCTACTTGTGCATTGTTTGCAGAAACTATGAAACTTAAGTCCCATTTCTCTGTTCAGAAAACATTTAAGGGATCATTGTTTTTGTGTGTATGACTGTTTTTCCGTGGCTCACAAAATGAGATATTTAGCAGAATGTTCAAGCTGCACTTTGCCATGCAATAAAAGTGTCCACTGGAATAAGCTGCATCAACTTTCCCGTAGAAAGATGACAAACATGCCATTCACTATGTGTTTATATATATAGCGAGAAAGGTATCATCCATGAAGATTCTTATTCTGAGAAAACGCAGCATCCCTTTTTGTCCTCATTTTAGCAAGTAATTACTTAAATCTTTGTATGAAAAGATGTCTTCAAGTTGACTCATTGGACAGTATAGCTGTTATTCCCATGGTTTCTGAAAGAACCTTAGTTGAACTTGGGGATAATTGAGATAATGGTGATTGTGCTCAATACATATTGCTAATTAGTATTCGCAGCAGTTTGTTTAATCCATTTAAGACAAAGTGCTCATGACAGCAAGGTCACTTGAGCTGAGTAAATTCAGTCGTCTCAATTCTAATTAACATCTTAACAAAGATGGCACACAATGTGCTGCCATATTTCGATTTCTGACTTCCTTAACTGATAGCTGACAAATCATCCAGTGCTGCTTCAAAAACCTTTTTTTTTTTTTTTGGCCATGCATGAACGTTTCATTTTACGCTAAAATTGCATGCGGCTGAATTGGCGTGGCTGTATTATTATCCTGACACTTTTATATAATCAGATTTATCTTTAATTAACGTTTTGCTCTGTGGGTCAATGACAAATAAGATACAGAAAATGGGAAAAAAATATATAGTTTAGCGCTGAGATTTTAGAAATGTGCTCTTTGTACTCATTGGATTCATGTTGTACTGAGAAACTTACATTTACATTTATTAACTACATAGAAAAGTGAAAAAAATGTTGTGTTGTGTAACCATCAGGGAAAAAGTTTGTTTTTCCTTGCTTTTGAATACATGTGAGTGTGCTATGCCTGTCACACCATGTCAAATATTAAGTAGTGAACCAATTCTGTTAAAAATATATAAAAAAATAATAATTAAATAAAGATTATGTTGACTATATATATATATATATATATATATATATAGTTGGCTTGTATGGTTATATGCTTCATATAATACCATATAAAATAATCATCATCTAGATATTATTAACATATGTACATATACAAATTTTACTATGGAGATTTTATAAACTGTTAGAAACTTTTATGTGCATATGTGAAAAATATATATTGCCTTATAGGTAACGTATATGGCAATATCATTATTTATATAGGGCAACATATGACAAATATTACATTCTGAATGGGCTTTTTCAAAAATTGTATTCTGTTTTTGTTCTTTATTCTCAGAAAACCCTGACATGATTGACTTTCTGCTCGCAGAAAATATTAAAATGATTTTTTTATCCAGAAATTATGAAATATCCCTACCAAAAAAAGAGCCTAGTGTCATTGACCCCTGTATCAGTACTAAGCTGAACCTCATGTTTTTGTACAGTAGTAATCATCTTACGTCTTGTTTGTTCCCCGCAGAATGAATACACATGTCCCAGACCCTTACCTGGAGCTTGGATTGGAGACATACCCACCATACACTGAAGGGACTGTTTTGTTCCTCAAAATAATCCACCGGCAGAGGATTTGTGCCTACCTGCATTTCATCAGTCGCATCAAGCTTTGTTCTCATGATACCACTCTTGCTTTCATTGCTTCTTTAATGGATTGTGCTGGATATTCTTCAGTCAGACACTGCAAACGGACATCATAGAGAAAGTGGGAACAGATGCCTCAGATGCATATTTTACTAAAACACATTTGGATGCCTCACTTTGTTCTTTAATGCGCCTGGATACATGTGTCAGGTTTATTTGGGAAGCCTTCGGTGGAACATACCAATGCAAGTTATCCAGCCTTTGTCGAATCGCCCAGCGTCATTTGACGTTTGTGTGGACCTATACATAAACTACAAACTTTGTTAATATACCCTCGAATTTAAAACAGGACTTGCCCTTTCCTCTGTTATTTAATGTACATCCTTGGAAAATTTGTGTATCGGAATAACTAAATAAAATGACTGAGTTAAAACCTTTATCTTTGCTGCCTAATACTGGATTTGTTATGCTTTGCGTTTCTGCAAACATCTCTGTACAGTTTTATTTGAAGAGATTCTCAAGTTTACCTGCCCTTCATAACAGTAATAAACTTCATACTGTTAGACTGAGTAATTTAAACACGACCTGTGATCTCATTGACTATGCCAACACTGTTTGAAATGTTTGAGTGTACATACTGTATGCAGTCTCATTTTATAGGAGAGTGTGTAAGGAAATGTAAAGATCTGAATATAGAGAATGTGTTTTAAGTCCTAATTTAAAGGCAAAGTTTTGAGATTTGTTCAGGTTCGACTAGCCCCTCAATCTTCAAATATTGCAACTTGAAAGTGTAATTTATTTATATGCTCCCGCATTTTAATTTAATAATTACATTTTGTAACCAAACTGTATGAATTGAACGCCACCAAGTTCTGTTTTGTAATGAGAGCGTTGTCAAAATCAATGGTGGGAAATATACATTTGTCAAATGGAAATTAGTATTGATCATCTTGTTCATTTTTTATGCATTTATTATTACTTTATTTAACAATATGGATTTTCCTGCAAAAGCAAAAACTGAGTTTATTTTTCACTTGTTGAACATTTGATGTAGCTCATTTGTACATGAAAATTAAAATAAACAACTGTAATTCTGTAAAATGAAGCTTTAATTTGAAAAATGTTTGGAATAATTAAGATTATTTCTGAAGTTATATTTATAACCACATAATTAAGGTAAGTAGTTGTTTATGTTTACCAATGCTGCATTTATTTAATGAAAAAGTAAATATTCTGAAATATTATTACAATTTAATAGAAGAGTTTTCTATTTGAATATGTTTTAAAATGTAATTTGTTCCTGTGATTGCAAAGCTGAATTTTCGTGTTTAATCAGAAAGTAAATGTGTTTCTGTTTTAGAGCTTATTTGGCTGAGTCTGAGTCTCAAAACTTTGTTGGACTAAAGGGGCTGTTCATACTAACCATGATTTTGCAGCGACAAAATCACCGTAAGTCATTCACTTTCAGCAGTTTTTGCCAGCATGGGTGACGATGTAGGCATTTTTCTCATTTGTGATTAGTTTTCAAAATCTACAGCCAATTCCACACTCCCAGCAGCATCGTCTACCAGCGACCGGCTGTACTGCAACCTTCAGCGATGAAAATCTGTCATTGTAAACAAGTTAGTAAAAGAAAGTTCAAGCTACTTGGCTGCATCCACACGCTCAAGGAAATGTCTTTCCATATATCTCCTCTTTGAGATGCTGTCAGATCAATATTGGCCTCATAACCCTGAAGAAGAGCCTCTCCGATTTGTGCCAACCCTGCCCTCTCCAAACCAACAAAGCTCTGGATGCTCAAACCTCATCCCGGCATGTCATAATTAGCACTAAATCTGCTATTTCTCAAGAGGGGGTTAACATGAAGAGTTCGCCCCGCGTCGAGTCCTCCAGGAACATGTCAAGCTGTCTGATATGAGGTCCAGATGGCAAATTAGCTCCGGTGTTTTCCTACAGTGTTGTATCTCCCCCTTCTCTCTCTTGCCTGCCGAAGCGACAGCTAAACAAACACCGTACTGTGTTCGACCGAACTCCCCCCATGAATTATTCATCGCCCCCATCCCTTGTTCGGAAAGGAGTCTTGACATTTCACCCAGTCAACGGCCTCCTACTGGAAGAGTGCTGTGTTCAGGGGACCCGACTGCGTCCAGATATTGGCTGTTGTGTGCTCTATTAACCCCAATCATGATGCCCCAAGAGTGCACAGGCACAAAAGACCAAAAAATCAGTTTTGTGAAATAGTCTGTGAGTTGAAGTAAAGGGCGTGTTAAATGTCAAACTAAAACTTGGAGTAATACACTCAATTTGTGCATTGATTTGGTTTCGGTTTATATGCTCAATATCTATCTACTGTATTTCTTGAGTATTTTCTTGGAGAGCACAGTCATAGTGTTTTTAAAATGCAAATCATACCATAATGCAGACGTCACTTTCTATTGCATGTGTGCTACAGTAGAATTTTTGTTGAGACTGATTTATAAAGATTGAGTAAAACTACTTACAGTGTATGGAACCATTCAAAATAAGTTTTAGATTAGGAAACACTGTTCACTATGAACTAGTTGCTTATTAACATGCTTATTACTAACATATTGGCTGTTTATGAATACTTAAGCACATATTAATGCCTTATTCTGCATGGCCTTGTTCTAGATACCATGACCCTACCCAGTACCTAAACTTAACTACTAACAACTACCTTACTACTCTTAGTTACTCCATGATTTACTCACCCTCAAGCCATCCTAGGTGTATATGACTTTCTTCTTTCCGATGAAAAAATAATGGCAGTAAATGGTGGTCGAGATTTTGAAGCCCAAAAAAGTGTATCCATCCAAAGTACTCCAAACGGCTCCGGAGGTTAATAAAGGCCTTCTGTAAATCAATGCGTTTGTGTAAGAAAAATATCCATATTTAAAACATAAATGTAAGTGATTGTATTCGTCTGAATTAAGCAGAAAGTCATACACACTTAGGATGGCTTGAGGGTGAGTAAATCATGGGCAAATTTTAATTTTTGGGTGAACTAACCCTTTAATAGTGAATATGAGTTCCCTAATCTGAAGTGTTACCAAAGTTTTTGTATTCCACTGCTTTTCTATGTAGGCTAAACATGCTAGATTATGGAAGATTGTTTCTGCCACTTGAGAAAAAAACAATAGTGATTGCAACTTTTATCTCACAATTAAAAAAAAAATTCTTGCAATTCTGAGTTTATATCACAGAATCTTGACATTTTTCTTGCAATTTTCTCAGAATTCCAAGATTTAAACTCCGAACTGGAGGACTCATAAAAGGGTCACAATTACAAACTCTTATAAACTCACAATTCTGAAAATTGCAATAAAATTGTCAGAAGTTGCAGATACCTTTTTCCCCCAACTGTAAGTCGCTTTGGATAAAAGCGTCTGCTAAATGACTAAATGTAAATGTAAATGTAAATGTAAATGTTATATACATTTTTTTGCGTGAAAAAAAAAAGAATTGTGAGATGCATCTCACTGCACTGCTTTTTCATTGTTTTTCTATGTAAACATGCAAAACATTTTATTAGTAATTATACAACAGTTGGTTCCAGTCCAGTCCAGTAGCACTGGGACATTTCACTGTTTGAATCACTCCACTTGTTTCTGTTTGTTCCGGACTTGTGTTTGACTTGTTTTCCAGGTTACACTGATGCGCCACTGTTGGTGATGACATGTAGCTGTTTTTATGAGTAAGTAATTTTAGCATTCATTGAACCGATTTGTTCAAAATGCTCATTCAGTTATGAATCAAAGAAGTATGTTTCTGTCCTTACATGCAAGTCATTGAATCATTCACTCAACCGATTCATTAAAAGCACTGATTTTTTTCAGGAACGCCACTACTTTGTCGCTCGGCTTCTTTGACTGCATCTGCATCTTTCGCTGGTGACGCAAAACTGACAACTAGCAACAAGTCTGTAAAATGTAAGTTGCTTAGATTTTACTGGACTTGCAGAATATGGGCTACTGCATATGGATGGAAACAAAATAACTGCAGCATTAGAATATTCAGTGGTTGTTGTTTTTGACGTGATCAGAAAAAAAAAAAAAGTATTATGTATTCATTTTGTCACACAAAAAGGGAAGGTTTCAGTTACCTTTAACAGCCATTGTAATTTTTGTCCATACAATAGAAGTCAATAGGAACCTATTTGTATAGGTAATATTTGTGTGTAATATTTTAGCTTTTTTTTAATAAAAGCTACTTGGTTTGATATTTATTTATATAATGCATAGGCATATTTTACATGGACCCACGGTATTTACATTAATTTGTGGTTTCAAGTACATTTTAGTTAATGTTTACAAAAGAACAAAATTCACTGTGCGATAAAAATTTATCTTTCATTCCATAGGTACAGGAATAGACAGAAACGGTTTAAAAATGCTCCTTATTATGGATAGATGAGATTTCAGAGTATCATTTAAAAAGTGTGATTGCATCACAGATGATTGACAGATGATCTCAGATTGATGTGGGTGTCAATTGACAGTACTGCTGGGAAAGATTAGGCCTCAAGGGAATATATCTGGTGGGGAAGAAAACAGCCCCATTCTTGATCGTTAGCAGCACATGGTTGCACTCTCTCCAGGGAACAAAAGGTTGGAAAAACTTATGCAACATCCAGCCAGAAATCGCCTTTCCAGAAGACATATCATAGCTAATTAATAGCTGAGATGATCTAGACTGCCCAGTTCACCCACACAGTACAATATATAGTTAAAAAAGACCAAGAACCTATTAATTAATATGAAAACCAGTAGTCTGTTTTATCACAAGCCAGCAGATAAGGTTGCAGTGGTTAAAGGAATAGTTCAGCCAAAAATGAAAATTTGATGTAAATTTACTCACCCTCGGGTCATCCAATATGTAGATGAATTTGTTTCTCTATGGAAATAGGTTTGGGGAAATTTAGCATTACATCACTTGTTCACCAATGGATCCTCTGCAGTGAATGGGTGCCATCAGAATGAGTCCAAACAGCTGATAAAAATATCACAATGTGTGTTTATATTTGTTTTGGACTGTTCTTGCTTGTAAACGATTCTTGATCTGTGCATATTTCTCTCCTGATTCAGATGAGACAACTTTTTTCACTGGCGAAAGCAACATTATGGATAGAGGAGACAGCCTGAAGAAACCATTTGAAGTTAAAAATGCCTTGATGTATTTGTTTATAAAAACATTCAGCTTTTCACTTGACAAGACATGAAGATGATCTATCAGAAGATCTATCATCTATATATTGGATGGCCTGATGATGAGTACATTTTAAGCAACGTTTCAATTTTGGATGAGCTATTCCTTTAACATGGGAAAAAGATGAGATCTCTTTAATATCAGAAGGAGATTAAACGTTTAAACCCCCAAAAATAAAAGTTCTGTGATCACTCATGTTGTTTCATCCTGCTATGACTTGCTTCCTTCAGTGGAACATATTGTTTACAGTTATTTACTAACTAAACTTCACAATATTAAATAGAGCTCAAAGCCTTTAATCATTCTAAACAATGTACATATCCCAATCCCTGTGTTTTTATTGAGCATTTAATTGATACATTTAATTATTAATTTAATAATTATTCAAGAGCAAGGGCTTATGGGTATTCCCTCCAGTCACAATGCTCACAAAGTAACAATGTGAAGT